ATCTGAGATTATGCTAACAGACGTTTTCTAACATTAACCTGGAAAACTGATTGACCTGGCAAGGATGGGAATGTCTCTTGAGTGTGTGTAAGTATAACGGGGAGCATGAAATTCTACTGCATATTTTGAGAAGCAGTAAGTTTTGGGTATTTTTCTTTCATAAAAATTTCAGAAAATCTTTCAAAACCAGCATTTGCATACCCCTTGTTTCTTTCAGTTCCCATATGTATCCCTTAATTAAAACTTTTTGCCTTTTTTTATTTTTTTTTATTGAAGGTGTGGGGTGAATCAATGGGGTACAGAGAGGTAATAGTTTCTTCAAGAGCTTCCTATTTCTTTTCAGCCCCTGGGGGATGGGGCAGTTTCTGGGATCGGTATTTCATTTGATTTGGAGCACTGAAACCCTGCCTTTCCCGGAATGTGCGTTTTTGTCTGCAGGCAGTGTGAGATAACTCATGCCTGGGAACAGGCTTGTACAAGGGCTACTTTGGCCTGACCCACCACACATGCCTGCCCTACGCTGGAGGCAGTGGAATTTCAGAGGTACCTATTGTCTTCCTGAACTGGTTTTTCTGGCAATGGACTGAACTCCCAACGCTTTTCACGCAGTCGAACAGGAGCTTTGGAAGTTTAGCTTTGGCAATCAGACTGAGGTAACATCAGGTGCAATCTGTGAGTTTGTCCTTTCCTGTTGCCCTGCTCGAAGTACTGTGAGGGAGGGTGATAGCAAACCTAGCCTTGTAATAGTGAGACTCTTTAATGATGTGTGAAATCCTCTGCTAAAATAAATGTTTAGAAGTTTATAAACACATAAAACTAATTGGGCAGACAAATCTTTACTGACTAAAGAGATAATAAGAGTCTGACTCTAGGGTCTTTTTCAATATAGAAGAAAAATTTGAAGTATAAAACTTCCAAATAATAATTATTTTTACAAACTGTACAAATTTGTGCTGCCCATGTTCCAGGGACTCATGTCTATGAGTCTTCAGATGGAGAATTTGAAATGTTCCATGAGTTCTTCTTCCTCTTGCATTATGGTCTTATGGACATTGAATCTTTGAGTCTTGATTATCACAAATATGGAAATTTCAAAGTGCTTAACATTCTCCAGGGGACCTGTACACCCAAAATGTTTTAATCTAAATAATCCGCCCCAGAGATTATTTCTACTATACAATAAGAAAAATAACTATGCGACTTCTCTGGTTCTGTTCCTGCTTCCTGCAGGAGAATAGAAACTTCAGGATATGCAAAATGTATAACAGCTTCTAGAAACTGAAGAAATCCTTGCTCCTGTTGCAAGGAGTAGCTCTTCTAATGTCAAACACAGTGATCTCTGGTTTGGTTTCTTTTTCCATAAGAAGAGCAATACAAAATATATTGACCAGCCTGGGAAGCAGACAAAGTCTATTATAGCTTCCAATTATATTTTCCCTCACTATTCTGAAGTACAGTTCTGCAGAGCTGTTCACCAAAGTTCACTGAAATTTACTGATATATTGCAACTCCTTATATAAAACCGGCTTCTAGACTCTATCCTTCTCTCTCTAGACCCTTTTCTTCATAGCAGTAAGAAGGCACAGCCATCAAATGCTGAGCCATTTTATACAAGTGTTGCTCAGCACCAAAATTTTCAAGGATATTCATTTGGAACATGCTTGCTACAGAGATCATTATGTTCAGCTGGCAGCTCCTTAAGATAGCTCAAGACCTGTACCTGTTAATGGAAATGCAAATAAGTGAAGACCTACTGGGGTTCAGTTTCTAAATAGTGATCAATAGTTGTAGGCAAACTTTGGTCCTGGGTCCATCATTTGCAAGGTGAATGCAGTGATTATGGGGTTAGGGAGGGGCAGGGGTAATGGAAGAGGCTGAGCAGTGAACCCAGGACCCCAGTCTCACTGGAAGAGAGGGTGCATCCCCTTAATTATTTTTTTCATAATTTAGTCCTTTGGTGGGGGGAGGGGATGGGAAAGATGTCAGTACTCTTTCAAGTGTTATCATGTAGGTAGTAACACAGAGTGGATTTAACACTGTATGAATTCACATCTCAATGGCTTTTTGCACTTTGCTTCACTTGGGAGACATTTCACCGATATTCACTTTCATTTAGTACTAGGCAGGATTATCCCCACTACAATATCCAGCACAATCACAGAGACACTTAGGTGTAGAGGTTCACATGCTGGTCTTCTTGAAGGTATAGATGGTTGTAATTTTAAAATACTTTTAAAGGCCTGCTTTCTGTCTGCCACACCTTTAGACTCTGCACTGGATGGTTCAGAGCTGTGCTTCAGGCTGGGACAGGGACATGACCAGCATCTATTTGAAGAAGTGGAGCATGTGGTGCTGTTTCTAAAAAAGGCTACAGGGAAGCCCAGATGTGTTATCAGAAGTCTGGGGACAGGAGGAATGTTTGTAAATCAGATCTGGGAAAAAAGAGACTTTGTAGCATTGTTACCTGGGTGATAACCCCAATGATTACTCTGCTTTTGCATCATAGCCTGGCATAGCTGTTATCACGATGATCTAGGCAGCATTTTAACAGGGAGATATGAGATTCAGCATCCCAAAGAGTGAATTTATTCTGTTATAAAGTAGTTGAAACTCTGCTGGAAGATGACAGGATATTTGTCAATGTAAATATTTGCTAATAGACCATATTGGTAGTCTCTGAAGCTCTTCCTCATCTCCTGCTCCAATACTTTAAGATAGCTGGCTGTGATGCCAATTGAACACAGAGATTTCACAGTGTACTTTCAAGCAAAGACAGTGAATATTTATTTTCTTAGTTTGGGAGCACATTTCTCATATGCATGCTTCTCTACTTTTTAAAGGTCCTTTGGCGTAGACATTCTGTATCCAACTATATCTGAGGTCAAAATATTGTTGCGGAAAGAAATATAAATTGTGGTATGTTACTACTATCCATGAAATAGCAAAATCTTGAAAAATGCCAAAGAAACAACAAATGAAATTAGGCTCACTGTACCTGGGTTTTGCTGGAAAACAAGTAAAGGCTTACTTAGGGATTACAAATTTGGATTCACACATAGCTTCAATATAAATCTCCAATCTGACTGACTTGCAAAAGCCCTTTCAAAATATTTGGTTGAAATTGCACATGAACAATAATCAGGGCAATATTTATGGAGTAATCTGGAATGCTATACACTTGTCAGATAATGAACTAATGTCCACAGTTTGCCCTAAATACCTAAAAACCTGATAACCCTGTCACGAAGGTAGAGATTAGATTGCTCAGCTGTGACTCTATGGAAGTTAATCCTTTTATTGCTGTTCCTGTAAAATTTCAGACAATAAAGCAGTGTTTCAGTACCATCACACGACCATTTTGCAGGGCTGTGTGATAACATTTCAACAGTATTTGCAAATTGTTACTCTTTTTGAAAGCTGAAGTCAGAAAGATCTCTGCTGACCACAATATCTCAATTTTGCCCAAGATTTGTGGATATTTGGCTGTTGAGCTCTGCCTGGGGCTTGTATCTGTGGTAGCAGATAATCTACTGAGAGGCAGCTTGTTCTTAGTTGTATGTAATATTACTTTATATTCAGCCTGCTATGAGCAATCATATGAATTTTTACTAATTTGTATTCACAGTTTTAGCAAGTGTGTGAAAAAAATACAGCCTACAATTATATCTACCTGTGCAAAACAGAAAATTAGAATGATTCTTCTTCCTTGGAGAAGTTCTTACATTAAACATTTGTTTGAGAATTCTTTGAAAAAAGTCACCATCTCCTATTTTCAAATAGTAGAAAACACAGAAATATTTTTCTTAACCTTTCACTAATCATGAATTATATATTTTCTTTAATAACAAAAATGCATTTTTTTCTCCATTCATAGAGTTTTTGTTTTCAACAATGTTCCAATATATCTGTGTCTCCTGTTTTCATAGACAAAGTTTGCTTTGAAGTATTGTGAAAGATTTAGTGTATTCTTAGTTAAGACTCCCACATAAAGTCTATATAAATACTGATATGGTTATACACATGGTCAGCTTCTAAATAACTGAGCAGTTATTGCTTGTCATGCTTGAAAACTGGGAGCAGAGGTTCTAAATATGCTCCTCTCTTCTCCCATTTTTTATTGCATCATGTCACATGCCCTATGTAAGCTTGTGGTCAGAAGTGCCTGTATTTGTGTCTTGTCTTATGGAGCGGTCTTGCTGTGCTTCAGGCTCATGTCTCCCATCCTGCTGAGTGTGGGAATGTAGGCCTTTGGGCAGGCAATCCCTATGGAAGCTGCAAAGCTAGGTGGGACTATGCGTGGGAGCTGTTCCTGCTTCTGGGGCTGCCGGATGTGGGTGCCCACATTCTTCTGGGTGAGGGAAGCACATGCTCCTGGCCCCTGGTACCATCAGCTCTCTACAAAAACTGGCTCCGAGGGTAACAGGCTGCGAGGCATAGTGAGTAGATGCAGGCTTCTGCGTTAGCCTTCTCACTGACTCTAGGCTTCATTTGATTTCTCCAAACCCTAATGAAAAGGTGGTTCAGAGCCTTTGCTAAAGTGATGGTGGATTTTGTGTTAACCAGGGGTGGATGTCATGATTCATAGCCAAATTTACTTAGTCCCCAACCTGAATATACATATGTCTTTTTTCTACTTCCACTCTTAGGCCACAGAAGATTGTGGTTGTAATATTAGTCCTCCATCGTCCTGCAACTTCTTGCTACTCTGTCCCCTTCCTCCCTACTGAACTGCAACCAGGGTTAGAGGTGCTCACAGGACTGTTTGTAAGGGAATGTGGTAGAAGGGTGTTTGCTGACTGAAATTCTGCTGGTTTGAGCAGGACGTAAGCTCAGTGGCAATGGTGCTCTGCAGCATTGGTACATTCAGCTGACATCTTACCAAACCTCATGTGGTCTCCCTTTCAGCAACCAGAGTCAATTTTTCCTTTGTACTTTGTTGATTCTCTCAGTGGTGAATACTGGGCTTTGTATAATCAACCCCTTTCTCTTTTCTGTTACAGAGCTCCAGCATGGGAGGCAAACTGAGCAAGAAGAAGAAGGGATACAGTGTCAATGATGAAAAAGCTAAAGACAAAGACAAGAAGGCTGAAGGAGCAGCCACTGAGGAAGAGGAGACTCCAAAGGAGGCTGAGGATGCCCAGAAAGCCACAGAGACCACAGAAGTGAAGGAGAACAACAAGGAGGAGAAGGGAGAAAAGGATACTCAGGTCACTGCCAATAAGATGGAAGAAAAAGAAGGGGAGAAGGAGAAAACAGTGACCCAGGAAGAAACCCAGAAAACAGAACCTGAGAAGTCAGAGGCTATTGTCGATGCAAAAGTAGAGCCACAGAAGAACACTGAACAGGCACCCAAGAAAGAGGAGCCAACTGCTGCCTCTGCTCCTGCTGCCAGTAGCGAAGCACCCAAACCCTCTGAGCCTAGCACCGATGCAAAAGCTTCCCAGCCTTCAGAAGCCACAGCTCCCAGTAAAGCAGATGACAAGAACAAAGAGGAAGGGGAAGCCAAAAAGACTGAGGCTCCCGCAACGCCTGCAGCCCAAGAAACTAGAAGTGAAGTGGCCCCAGCTTCAGACTCAAAACCTAGCAGCAACGAGGCTGCACCTTCTTCCAAGGAGCCTGTGGCAACATCAGCACCTAGTTCGACTGCTAAGGCCTCGGACCCTGCAGCTCCTCCAGAGGAAGTGAAACCTTCTGAAGTTCCAGCGACTAATTCGGATCAAACCATAGCAGTGCAAGATTAAATTGGACAGCCTGTTGAAACAACCACTTAAAACAACCTGTGTCTTTTTTTTTATTTTTTCAGCTATACTAACTTGTTTCAGATCTGAAATAGCAAATACGTATTGCCCAGAAAAGAAGAAGAAAAAAAAAAAAGAAGAGAAAAAATGAAAAGGATGTCCCATCAAGTTGGGAGGGAGGGGGGAGAATCCAAATAGTATTTTCGTGGGGAAATATCTAATATACTTTCTGCCAACTTGACACAAGTCCTGGATTAAAATAAATAAATAAATAAATAGATGTCTGAAA